CCTGGAAAAGTGTCCTCTGGGCCAGGAGGACCTTATGGGAGAAAGGACATGCAATCCTGGTGGGATTTTCTGGGACCTGGATCTGCTCTGCCCTTGGCACAGGTTGCCCAAGGAGGCTGTGGATGCCCCAAGGAGGTTGTGGATGCCCCAAGGAGGTTGTGATTGCCCCAGGGAGGTTGTGGTTGCCCCAGGGATGTTGTGGTTGTCCCAGGGATGTTGTGATTGCCCCAAGGAGGTTGTGAATGCCCCAAGGAGGCTGTGGATACCCCAAGGAGGATGTGATTGCCCCAGGGAGGTTGTGGTTGCCCCAAGGAGGTTGTGGATGCCCCAAGGAGAGGTTGTGGATGCCCCAAGGAGAGGTTGTGGATGCCCCAAGGAGAGGTTGTGGATGCCCCAAGGAGAGGTTGTGGATGCCCCAAGGAGAGGTTGTGGATGCCCCAAGGAGAGGTTGTGGATGCCCCAGGGAGCAGAGACTAAATGATCTCTAAGGTTCATTCTTACCCCTAAAAATTCAGTGATTCTCTGTGGCTTTGGCTCCTCTCTGCCCACCCCTGTGTGAGACAAACCATCACATTTTGTGTTCCTGGGCTGTCAGCTCCTGTTTGTGTGTGTTTTCCTCTGACCCTCTGGCACCATCAATCCACAAGGCCTGATGGAAAGGTTTCAATGCTGTCTTGAGGCACAGAGGGGTTAAGTGATTGTCCTGAGGGTTGAAAGGGCAGTGTAACCTCAGTGTAAACTCAGACAGAGACTCTAGGGCTGATTGGAACCACCTCCTGTCGTGCTTGGAGCCATGAGAACATCAGAACTGGAATAGATACGACTTTAGTGGGGTTTGCTGTGCCTTTTGCAGCTCAGATCCCACCTGGAGAGAGAGCTGAGGCTCCAGCAGCAATGAGGATCCCTGTGTTAGATGCAGTGGAGTCAGTGTCAACATGACAGAGACAAAGAAGAAGTTGTGACCTCCCTGTAACTCTCTTGCTTAGGTTGGGATTTCCAAAGCAGCCTGGAGGATTTGGAATGCCCAGTAGAAATGACTGGAGAGTGAAACATTCACGTTCCCAAGGCAGCCTTAAAAATTCCAGCCTTGACTTATTGGCACCAGGAACTCTCCACAATGACCCACAGTCCCTGTCGGCTCAGCCTCCTCCTCCTCCTCCTCCTCCTCCTTCTCCCGGGATCCCAGGCAGTCTGGGAGGATCCCAGGCAGCCCAACCTCCTCCAGCCCCTTCCCTGGGCTTGCAGGGAGATTTATTTGACTCTCCCTCCCCCAAAGCTGAGCTTGGAGCAGCTCCAAGCTGCTGTGCCTGGCTCTGCTCTGCCTCCAGTCGGTTCCTTGCTGTGCTGACATGGATGGAGAAGGAGGAGGAGGATGAGGAGCAGATCAGCCCTTGTGTCAAGGATGGTTTTCTTCCTCTCCCCATCATCTGGAGCAGCTTTGGCTCTTCCTTTTCTCTCCTGGAAAAGCTGAGGGTTTTGGAGCTGGAGCACAGGGAGGTTTGTGGTGCTCCAGGATGGAGGTGGTGTGGGTGTTCCTGCCAGCCCTGAAGAGTTCAGGTCACCTTAGTGTGACACTGCCACATGCCACAAATGTGCAAGAGGGTGAATGACCCTCCCAGCTGAGCTTTACACCCAGAGCAAACCAGGGAAACAAACCCAAATCCATCAACCACAAACCCAAATCCATGAGAACCATGAACCCAAATCCATGAGAACTACAAACCTAAATCCACCAACCACAAACCCAAATCCATGAGAACAACAAACCCAAATCCATGAGAACCATAAACTCAATTTCATCAATCACAAACCCAAATCCACGAGAACCCCAAACCCAAATCCATCAACCACAACCCCAAATCCAC